TCCATACTCTTCTCTTCCCATCACTCTGGTACAAGTTGATCTTGGTCTCATCTGTCCATAGGATGTTGTTCCAGAACTGTGAAGGCTTCTTTAGATGTCGTTTGGCAAACTCTAATCTGGCCTTCCTGTTTTTGAGGCTCACCAATGGTTTCCATCTTGTGGTGAACCCTCTGTATTCACTCTGGTGAAGTCTTCTCTTGATTGTTGACTTTGACACACATACACCTACCTCCTGGAGAGTGTTCTTGATCTGGCCAACTGTTGTAAAGGGTGTTTTCTTCACCAGGGAAAGAATTCTTCGGTCATCCACCACAGTTGTTTTCCGTGGTCTTTCGGGTCTTTTGGTGTTGCTGAGCGCACCGGTGCGTTCCTTCTTTTTAAGAATGTTCCAAACAGTTGTTTTGGCCACGCCTAAGGTTTTTGCGATCTCTCTGATGGGTTTGTTTTGTTTTTTCAGCCTGATGATGGCTTGCTTCACTGATAGTGACAGCTCTTTGGATCTCATCTTGAGAGTTGACAGCAACAGATTCCAAATGCAAATAGCACATTTGAAATGAACTCTGGACCTTTTATCTGCTCATTGTAATTGGGATAATGAGGGAATAACACACACCTGGCCATGGAACAGCTGAGAAGCCAATTGTCCCATTACTTTTGGTCCCTTAACAAGTGGGAGGCACATATGCAAACTGCTGTAATTCCTACACCGTTCACCTGATTTGGATGTAAATACCCTCAAGTTAAAGCTGACAGTCTGCAGTTAAAGTACATTTTGTTTGTTTCATTTCAAATCCATTGTGGTGGTGTATAGAGCCAAAAATGTTAGAATTGTGTCAATGTCCCAATATTTATGGACCTGACTGTATATGTGAAATCGCTACAAAATGCAGAAACAATTAAACAACAACTACTTTTGAAATTGTGCTGCAGCAAATCGTGTATGTTAAGACACTCACATCCACATTCATTAGATCAGATATCGGGTACAATTTCAATTCCCAAATCGCACCTGAAATCGCGCACCCTGGATGCGACTTGGCATGCGATTTGCATGCCGAGACTTGCAAATCACATGCCAAATTGTACCCGATGTGACCGGGGGCTAACACCACAGGCAACTTACAGTGAAGTTGCACGATTTCTAAATCAGATTGCATGTGAATGGAGCCTATAGTAGACAATAGGGTGCGACTTGGCCTATGATTTGCAAGTCTCCTGGCATGCAAATCACATGCCAAATTGCACCAGATGTGACTGGGGGCAACCAAAGTGGATTTTGAATTGGTGTCACTTACACTACGGTCACACCATGTGACTTACAGTGAAGTCGCATGATTTCAAAGTCGGGTAACATGCTGATTTAAAGTGCGATTTGCAAGACATCGGACACAGATCTCTCTGCAAATCGCATGAAAAGTAGTGTATTCATTACTTTAGAAATTGTTGCAGCTCCAACCAAGTTTGAACCACACCAATATGAACACTTTAATAGCGGTCACATTGAGTGCGACTTGGCATGTGATTTGCATGGCATGCGACTTGCAAATTGTATGCCAAGTTGCACCCTATTGTCTGCTATGAGAGCGGTCACATGGGTGCGTTTCTGGCACTAATTTCTAAAGTAGTACATGTACTACTTTTGTGGCGATTTGCATAGATATCTGTGTCAGATGTCTTGCAAATCGCAAGGAAATCAGCATCTTCACTGTAAGTTCCATGATTTCTAAATCGGCTTTGATGTGACCGGGGTGTAAGGCCTTTTTATGTTTGATTTCCTGAGTGTTTTTCCGATTTATGGGAAATGTTCTGTTGTATGCTGCACAGGTATAATTCAATGTGGCTTTTTTTCCTGACTCTGATTTGTGGGGCCTATATACCAAGGGTTAACAAAGGTGGGAAGAGGATTAAATCAGATGCAAACACTTTCTCTGACCAAATGAATGACAGTGGTGGGTGTGGCCTATGTTGTATAAAGAGTTGTAGTAGTGGGTGATTTGCCTTGTATAGGCTATTTTTAGCAAGTCCTTACCTGTGGTGGTTTGGGGAGGAAGAAATATTGTGGTGAATTGCCCCAGACCACACTCACGCTGTGTTTTGATGTGGGCTGTAAATGTTTTGAATTTTGTTTTTTTTCTAAGGTGTGTTTGTGTGTTATTGTATAATGATTGTGTGTTTATTATCTTTGCATTGTAATCCTAACACGTCAATTGCTCTGCTCTTCCAAATCTGCACTCGGCTATAGTTTGCTTGCTTATTTAGACTGAAATGCAGTTTTTCGGACAAACCTCATGAGAAATGTATGTATGGGGGATTTGGGGAGGTGGGAGGTGTTTGTTATTTTGCCACGTATGTATTTTTATATTGATATTTTGATCTGCAGCCTGTTTTGTGGATAGATGATCCTACTAAGTGATTCATATTAACCATTTGTTTCCTGCTGTAACCTGTGAAAGCACAATTTATTAGAAGTTTAATCTTTTAAATTGTAAGCTCTTATGAGCAGGACCATTCTATTTTAGCAGCATCAATTCTGCTTTTTTTTTTTTTTCCCCACCAAGAAATTGACTACCTACTTGTTGCTGCTGTCCAAATAAATGTGGAATATGTATTTGATCAATAAACATTTGGACTATGTATATTTTTTTGGGGGTTATTTCATGTTCAAGTTACATATACTAGCACCCCTAACACTTATATTTTGTGAGCTATATAATATGCCCAAATCTAGCTTGTAGAGTGCACATATGCAAGTATGTCCAAACTAACAAACCAAAAGCCCCCTATTGCACCACAAGACCATGTTATGTACCAATGAATAGGTCGTGTTCAATGTGCAGCTAGCTATTCTTTTTCTATAATCCTCTTAACAGTAATAAATTAGGCCCCCAATTTATGTTGTCTTTGGGCCTTTACCGGCAAACATATATTCACCAATGCCAAATACACAATAGAGCTGCAAACATATATTCACCAATGTCATATACACAATAGAGCTGCAAACATATATTCACCAATGTCATATACACAGTAGACTGCAAACATATATTCTCAAATGCCAAATACACAATAGAACTGCAAACATATATTCACCAATGTCATATACACAATAGAGCCACAAACATATATTCACCAATGCCAAATCCACAATAGAACTGCAAACATATATTTGCAAATGTCATATACACAATGGAGTCGCATGGAAAATTGCTGTGGTGCACAAATAAACGCCAAGATGGCTGTTGGAGGAGGCGCTAGAGCAGCTGTCATACCGGAAATACGTCATGCTATTCTTGTCACGATCACGTTTGCTAGGCAAGTTTTGGAGCTGACAGCATTATCTTGTAAAGAGCCTTGCCTGGTGTTGCACAAGAATAAGGTTGTCCTGAGATACAAGGCTTCGTTTTTGCCCTAGAATTATTGTTGTCAGTTTATCTTCAGAATGATACCTCACATTTGTTGCACAATTTACTTGCATTTGGGTGTGTACAGGGGCGACAGCAGTGATTTTAAATATTTTTTAAAATTTTAATTTATTTTATAATTTATTAAATTATATAATTTAATATTTTTTAAGTTCTGTAAAAGTGATCACTTTTACTTGAAAGCAAGGAGTCAGCTGAAAAAATCAATACCAAGCTGACAACTTATTTTAACCCTTTTTAAAATCAGAATGTTTATAAATGTTACTTGGTAGACAGGGGGTTAAAGTAAATCTAAAGTTAAACATTAAAAAATTGCTAGCAGGTACGCTCCTGACTGCAGAAGATACATGGTGTGTCTCTTCTGTAATTAAACAAACTTGCCTGTCTGCTTGCAATCTTCTTTAGATTGTACACTGAGCTATGCATGTACACATGCAGGTCTCGGGAGTGAGCACGCACCAGTGTCCCCGTAGCAAGCGGCTTGCTATGGGAGCGCTGGTCAATGGTAGGAGCTTGGAGCACTGGCAGGGGACATTAGAAGAAGAGGCTCAGTGCATATGTTGTGCAATCATCTACATGCATGTGTGCACTCAAATGGTGCATTTGTATGTGTGTACTAAGAGCAACAGAGATGTTTGAAAATTTTTATTATATTTAACATTTTCTAACGTCTTCCCTGCCCTCTGCTCCAACCAATTAAGCTTAGACTACGCTTGCTGTGTATCTGACATTTGAGACAGAATTTTGACAGCTCTGAACCTGGAAATGCTCAGAGCTGAGCTTGTCTGAGTTCACAGTAAGTAAAAGATGCTCCTCCTAGCCATCCTGACATCATTTGTTGTGGTACCAGGCTCCCAGGAAGAGTGACAGAGCCCAGGAACCACATAGGAAAGGGCCAGGGGCGGCACATGTGTCTTCTATAAAAGTTACCTAGATCACTTTTACACAAATGCTGGGAACCTGCTGAGTAATACTAAAACAAACTCATGGCTGCAGTAGCTTTTGTGACCTCTTTAGACTTTGGAGGAACTGTACACAACCAAAGATCCTAAGCATTTAACATACACAAAATATCCAAGGGATGAAAGAAAGCAAATGCCCCCTGGGTCACTTTACATTTTACAAATTTGTGACAGTGCTGAAAACACAAGGTGACCTTCAGTACTTTACAAACTTGGAAATCCAGAAATTAGTGATGTCTGTTCATTGTACCTATGTAGGTGTTTTTAAAGTCGCTGGCCCATACAAGCCATAGTTTCCTAGCCATAACTGTACAGCAGGAAGCTAAAGCTGCAAAACCAGAATAGCTGATACCCAATTATTTTTTTACCATAATTGTTGGTCTCTGTATTAATGTAGAATTCTAGGCTAAATCAATGTAAACATAAAATCCAATTTTAACTACTAGCCTACAGGGCACTTATACCCCCTTCCTGCCCAGGCCAATTTCCAGCTTTCAGCGCTGTCACACTTTGAATGACAATTGCACGGTCATGCAACACTGTACCCATATGAAAATTTTATAATTTTTTTGTGACAGAGCTTTCTTTTGGTGGTATTTAATCACCTCTGGGTTTTTTATTTTTTCTTAAACCAAAAACCACAGAAAATTTTGAAAAAAAAAAGTTTTTTCTTAGTTTTTGTTATACAATTTTGTAAATAAGTGATTTTTCTCCTTCACTGATGTGCGCTAATGAGGCTGCAGTGATGGACACTGATAGGTGGCACTGATGGGCACTGGTAGGTTGCACTGATGGGCATTGACAGGTATCACTGATGGGCACTAAAAGGCGGCACTAATACATGGCACTGACTGGCACTGTTAGGCGGCACTGACTGGCACTGTTAGGTGGCACTGATGCGCTATGATAGGCGGCACTGATGCGCACTGATAGGCGACACTGACTGGCACTGATAGGTGGCACTGATTGGCATTGATAGGTGGCACTGATAGCTAAGATGGGCACTGATATGTGGCATTGATGTGCACTGGTATGCACTGATATGTGGCATTGATGTGGCACTGATGAGCACTGACAGGTGGCACTGATGAGCACTGACAGGTGGCACTTCTGGGGCCACACTGATCATCAGGGCACACTGATCATCAGTGCCCTGATGATCAGTGTACATGTCCCCTGCACGGAAAGCTGATTACCGGCATTTCCATGTTTACATGTGATCAGCTGTGATTGGACACAGCTGATCACATAACCGAGCCGACATCTTTGGCTCTTTCCGTGATCCGCTGTGTCCGAGGGACACAGCGCACCGGCGATCGCCGCGCTGCGCGCTCCCTGAGCCGCGCATGCACAGTGAGAATGGTGGGACGTCATATCAGAACGAGAGAACCACCTTCCGCATGTCATTGTACTATAGGGCGGGCGGAAGGTGGTTAAAGATAAAAAGATTTTCTCTACAGTACCTTTTTTTTCTGCTGCTAGATGTATTTAGTTTGATGGCCAGCATCATTTGACCTACTTCCTCTGAGCCTAGGTTATCCTGGACCTGTTCCAGCCTGTAAGTGGACATCGGAATGAGAAGCAGCACTTAAAGTGGAACTTCACTCTCTCAATCAACATTGACTATATATAATACTTGTTCTGCTAGCATTAGTAAATAGATAGGAAAGTATATCATATTTGCCAGTTTTTACCTGGTTTTTTTTTTTTACATTTAAGTTACTTCCTGATCTCTAGGCCTATGCAAATGATGTTATACATCCCAGGAATCTTTAGGAGGAGAGGAAAGGGTTTTTCAGCTAAGCAGCACATGCCAGCATGCCTGAGCTAAGGGCTGATGGATTTCAGGAAGTAAATGCTACATAAATCATCTGCCCTTACTCAAGAAGGCCATAACTATAAATTCTAGGAGGTGTTTTCAAAGTGATTTCTCAGCAAAATAAATAATGGAAGCATGGATGGATGGGTGCATTTTCTTTGAATATTAAACATGAATGAAATAGTAGTTTTGGTTTGTGGTGCTCAGATGTATTGTAGTTCCACTTTAAGGAGCTCATCTCTCTGTCACTCTAAATTACTTGTCAGCACATGAATTCATTGGCTCCTTGTACTGCTTTGTGTACAACTAATGGCTGATACCAGGTCAGATTTAGGTATTTAGACTGCTTGCAGTAAAAATATATTTAATTATGTTTAAAGTATAATTGAAGGCAACACTTTTATTTTAGTTTTGGATAGAGTGGAGCAGGATTTGATCACCTGTCATTTGTTTTATGTTTTTTTGCTTCCTGTGTTCCTGTTAGAGAAATATACCCTGTCCATTTGTCCTGTGAAAGAGTGCCAAATTTTGGAAAACCACTAGACCAGGATTAGTGGGACACATCTTCCAACGGTGAAACTCGATTTGGTGACCCTAGTGGCAGCAAGGGATTCCCTGATATTGGAGGGATTTCCTCTCATTTCCTGATTTGGCTTTGGTACAGGAAGTAAAAAGAAAACTTCCCAATGGGACACAGATGGCATAAAATCCTGACTGGGTTATAACCCTCCCTGACACTATCCAAAACGAAGAAAAAATTGCTTTGCCTTTAGTTCTACTTTAAAGATTACAGAGCTGTGTTAATTATTGTCTTTTACATCTGCCTAGAATTCAGTGATAATAAGAATTGTATCCTGAAGTGAGCCCTCTTTTAGCATTTTTCATTTTACCCCTGGTTCACATATATGCGGCCCGCGTTTTGCATGGGCACGAGAACCCATTCATTTGAATGGACTTCCATTCCCACGTGACATGCAGGGAAGAAGTCCCTGCACTTCTAAAAATGCAGTCCGCACGGGAACCTCAGTTCCCAGTATGGTTGCGTTTTACTGTGCTAGAACTAATGGCACCTGCCCGCCGGTCCGCATTCTTCTGTGCGGGTAGTGCGGCTGCACGGATTTTCTTGCAGATCCGCAGCCGCACCACCCGCACATGTGAACCTAGCCTTATGGCAGACTCATTGGGGGTTATTTACTAAACCTGGAGTGTGCAAAATCTGATGCAGCTCTCAATCAGCTTCCAGGTTTTATTGCCAAAGCTTAATTGAACAAGCTGAAGTTAGAAGAAGGTAGATTGGCTACCATTGCACAGCTGCTCCAGATTTTGAGTGTACCAGTTATAGTAACCCCCACCCATGCTTAAAGCTGAACTCTGGACCAGGGGCGGACTGACAACTCAATGGGCATTGGGCAATGAGGGATAATGGGGCCCCTGTGTCCTCGCCTAAACCCGAAAAAGCCAATAAAAGGTACCAGGGGCATCTCATGGGGCCCCCTACTGACCCCGGGCCCTCGGGCAGTGCCCGAGTGCTCAAATGGTTAGTCCGCCCCTGCTCTGGACACAAATGTTTTCAATACATTTCAGCCATTTTATAATAACATGAAATGCAAAGAGTATTAATGATAAGCAAAGTACAGCAAACTACGGGGTTGTTGATTTCTAATTTTTTTGTTTTGTTGATTACTGCAATATATATATACACTGTTCAAAAAAATAAATTAACACTTTTTAATCAGAGTATAGCATCAAGTCAATTAAACTCCTGGGATATTGATCTGGTCAGTTAAGTAGCAGAGGGGGGTTGTTAATCAGTTTCAGCTGCTTTTTGGTAACCTTGAAAGTTTTAAATGGAATCAAAAGTTTCCATATATTTTGGTGGGCAAGTGATCTGTATGATGGTAAGTAGATGTTATTGCTGCTATGCTTGTTTGCAGAGAGTAATTATTATTATTATGAGAGGGGGTAAAGGACTGCATATACATTATATTGTCAAAAGTATTGGGACGCCTGCCTTTACATGCATATGAACTTTAATGGCATCGCAGTCTTAGTCCGTAGGGTTCATAATTGAGTTGGCCCACCCTTTGCAGCTATACAGCTTCAACTCCTCTGGGAAGGCTGTGCACAAGATTTAGTTGTGTGCCTATGGGCATTTTTGACCATCCTTCCCAGGGGTGGACTGACAACTCATTGGGCCCCCAGGCAATAGGGGATCATGGAGTCCCTGTGTCCTCACCCACACTCAAACCACACCCTAAAAAGCCTATGAAAGGTACCAGGGGCATCTCATGGGGCCCCCTACTGACCCCGGGCCCTTGGGCGGTGCCCAGTTCCCAAATGGTCAGTCCACCCGTGATCCTTCCAGAATCGCTTTTGTGAGGTCAGGCACTGATGTCGGATAAGAAGACCTGGCTCGCAGTCTCCGCTCTAATTCATCCCAAAGGTGTTCTATCAGGTTGAGGTCAGGAATCTGGTGCAGGCCAGTCAAGTTCCTCCACCCCAAACTCGCTCATCCATGTCTTTATGGACCTCGCTTTGTGCACTGGTGCACAGTCATGTTGGAACAGGAAGGGACTATCTCCAAACTGTTCCCAAAAAGTTAGGAGCATGAAATTGTCCAAAATTGTCTTGGTATGCTGACACCTTAAGAGTTCCCTTGATTGGAACAAAGGGGCCAAGCCCTTCCCTGAAAAATAACCCCACACCAAAATTCCCCTTCCACTAAACTTTACAGTTGGCACAATGCAGTCAGGCAAGTACCCTTCTCCTGGCAACTGCCAAACCCAGACATGTCCATCAGATTGCCAGACAGAGAAGTGTGATTTATCACTCTAGAGAACATGTCTCCAGTGCTCTAGAGTCTAGTGGTGGCGTGCTTTACACCACTGCTTACAGTGCTTTGCACTGCAATTACTGATGTAAGGCTTTGATGCAGCTGCTCGACCATGGAAACCCTATGAAGCTTTATCCTATAAAGCTCTATACACACTGTTGTGCTAATCTGAAGGCCACAGAAAGTTTGGAGGTCTTTAGCTATTGATTCTGCAGACAGTTGGCAATTTCTGCGCAGTGTGTACTTCAGCATGCGCTGACCCCACTCTGTCATTTTAAGTGGCCCACCACTTTCATGACTTTTGTTCCCAGTTGCTTCCACTTTGTTAGAATACCACTAACAGTTGACCGTAGAATATTTAGTAGCAAAGAAATTTCATGGATGGACTTATTGCACAGGTAGCAACCTATCACGGTAAGACGCTTGAATTTACTGACCCATTCTTTCACAAATGTTTGTAGAAGCAGTCTGCATGCCTAGGTTCTTGATTTTATACAACACCTGTGGCCATGGAGGTGATTGGAACACCTGAATCCATTCATTTGGAGGGGTGTCCTAATACTTTTCACAATATAGTGTATAATGGCTGTTGGGGGGGGGGGGGGGGGGGGGGATAAAACTGCTGTTCATAAGGCTGCTAGTGGGAGGGTTTTAGAAGAAAACTGTATATATGGTTGTTGGCATGTATGTGTGTTTGGAGGTAGGGGGTGAAGAGAATTATATACATATGTCTACAGATAGGGGTGAGACATGAATATCATTGCCACACTTTTGATGACTTTATGTTATTTTATTTTGCATTTTGAACTTTAGAAGATTATTCCAGTCTGATGTATTTGCATACACAATAACTGCCCGGGCTAAAGAAAAAAAGGAATCACTTGTCTATCTATCAAGGTACATTTATAAACACCATAGTTGACAAGTGGTTAAATCAAGCTCATGTTGCAGTTGTGGGCTCAGTACTGGCCAATAAAATTGGTTGGACAACTCTATAGCTGCCCAATCACATTTACAGGTCTCTCAAAGGGAATGCCAGCGGCTTCTGCGGTGGTTCCTGGGCACTACCATTTCTCCAGTGAGACTGGGACTGTGGCAAACAGTTTCCCCAGAGAAAACGAGAGACTCAGGATTCATCACTTCCCTCATCCCTCCTGAATCTAATGACCTTGGAAACAACCTTGACATTTTCCACATTTTGTCATCTTACAACCAAAAACGGAAAAGTATTTTATTGGGATTTTATGTGATAGACCAACAGAAAGTGGCACATAATTGTGAAGTGGAAGGAAAATGATAAATAATTTTCAACATTTTTTTACGAATAAATAAAAAGAAAAGAAAAGTGTGGCATGCTTTTGTATTCAGCCCCCCTGAGTCAATACTTTGTAGAACCACCTTTTACTGCGATTAGAGCTGCAAGTCTTTTTGGGTATGTCTCAGCTTTGCACATCTAGAGTGAAATTTTTTCCCATTCTTCTTTGCAACATAGCTCAAGCTCTGTCAGATTGGATGGAGAGCATCTGTGAACAGCGACTTTCGAGTCCAGCCACAAATTCTCAATTGGATTTAGGTCTAGACTTTGACTGGGCCATTCTAATACATGAATATGCTTTGATCTAAGCCATTACATTGTAGCTCTGGCTGTATGTTTAGAGTCGTTGTCCTGCTGGAAGGTGAACCTCCGCCCCAGTCTCAAGTGTTATTGCAGACTCTTAACATATTTTCTTCTAAGATTGCCCTGTATTTGGCTTCATCCATCTTCCTATCAACTCTGACCAGCTTCCCTGTCCCTGCTGATGAAAAGAACCCCCCACAACATGATGCTGCCACTACCATGTTTCACGGTGGGGATGGTGTGTTCAGGGTGATGTGCAGTGTTAGTTCTCCGCCACACATAGCATTTTGCTTTTAGGCCACAAAGTTCAATTTTGATCTCATCTGACCACAGCACCTTCTATCATATATTTGCTATATCCCCCATGGCTTCTCACAAACTGCAAACGGAACTTATTATGGCTTTCTTTCAACAATGGCTTTCTTCTTGCCACTCTTCCATAAAGGCCAGATTTGGGGAGTGCATGACCAGGGCTGCTGTTAGAAACCATGGGGCCCCATACAGCCAACCCGGCAGGGCCCCCGTTCCAAAAACCCCCCAAAGTATACTAGGCTTCAGTTATGAATGTTAGGGATTGGTACCGATCACTCGTGTTCATATGTGAAAGGAAGGGGTTGGTGAATGTGATGTATTTACCGGACCCTTCCCCCACTCTTCATCCTGAAAGATCTTATTGTGTGCTTGAAGCTGCTGAAAGGAGAGGAGGGAAGCTGGCAGCACTGTGGGGGTGAGCACACAAAGGGGGTCTGGGCAGCAGGGGGAGCAGTTACTGGAACTGATCCCCTGTTTGGCTCTCTCTGAGGAAGCTAAAATCCAGTAGGAGGGAGATGAGAAGAAGCCAGCTTTCAGCTGCTGCAGAGAGTCCTACAGAGGATCAGTTCTAGTAATTAGCCCCTCCCACCCCACCATGCCAATCACCCTCCCTTCCTACATCCGGTGAGCCCCGTACATGAGGAATGGTGGTACCCCCTTATCCACAGCCCTGTGCATGACTAATAGTTGTCCTGTGAACAGATTCTCCCACCTGAGCTGTGGATCTCTGCAGCTTCTCCAGAATTACCATGGGCCTCTTGGCTGCTTCTCTGATTAAAGGCTCATGTACACTGCAGCTGATAAGCTCACGTTTAGGAGCTGTTCAGCGTCTTTTTCAGCGGCCTCTGAACTCACCCTAATGTTTTCCTATGTGTCCATGTACACATCTTCGTTTACAGTCGTTTACAGGCATTTGAGTTTACAGTTGTTTTTTTGAACGCACCAAACTTATGTTCAGCAGTTGATTTTATCAGCGTTTCAAACACAAAACACTTGTAAACGTGGCAAATTGCGTTTATAAGCGTTTGTGTTTTAAACATTTTTGTAACTCTTCCAGTTCCCGATGCTGTCCAGCGCCTTTTTTCATCATGAAAAATGCATGCAAAGCATTTTCAAGGTACTCAGATGGACAAAACACTGCTCACAGGATGTTCCTACCAAGCTTGTCACACATTGGAATGACCAATTCACACCTCAGACTTCTCCCACCCTTGGAAACAAAAGATATGTTAATGACCATTCACACCTCAAATTCCTCATGAAGACCCCCTGCCAGGTGGCCTTAATGACTCACTCCACCAGACACCTTTCCCACCCTTGGAAACAAAAGAAATGTTAATGAGCAACTCACACCTAGCTAATGTCAACACATACTGCTGTGTCTGCTTCTACTCTTTGTATTTCTCTGAAACAGTCTGAAATAGTTAATAATTTACCACTTTTCAGTGCATTCTGGGAATTTGGGAGGTTCCCCTGTGCTTATCTTTAAAAAACGCTTCTAAACACAAACGCACATAAACGTGCATAAATGAACCTACGTTTTCCAGCAGTCAGTTTCCATCATTCAGAAGTGTCCCGTGTACAGGGGGCCTAATGCTGTCCTTGCCTAGCCTGTCAGTTTAGGTGCAAGTCC